TATATATATATTCAATAATTTTCACCATTGTATTGTATAAATTGAGAGAGATAGCACAAGACTGTTAGGTTTTTCTGAGAGTATTGACAACTTATCTTGATTTGATTTCATAGTTTTTAGTCAAACTTTTAGTTCGTGTTCTTACGGGCTAAAACATTGGCATCTTCATTTTTTATTCATTTTCGTACTACATTTGGGATAAGTGTTCGTGTACCTGTGCAGAGATCCACGATAGGTTTTGAAGTCCATGAGTTGGCCAAAAAAATAACTAGAGAAGTGGAGTATAGGGACAAAAAAGTAGCCATAGAAGTGGAGTATAGGGACAGTTAGATTAGTAGGGTTTTAGCCAAATAAATATATACTACACTACGTATGCACAACCATTTTCTAGTGAAAGAGTTCTGAGTTCCGCTTTATATTTTGTGTTGCTATATATTACTGCACTGCAGGCTCCCATGTATATGCAGAAAAAAAAGGGAACTAATGATCAGTTATCCCTGCATTTGGAAAGAATGAGAAGAGCCCTGTTAAGCAGGCTCCCATGTACATTCAAATAAGACAACTAATGATCTCTTATCAATGCATTTGGGAGGGATGAGAAATACCCGGTTAAAATCTTGGACCAGGTACAAATCCCACAAATTGGCGTGATTAATCCTATCCTTTGTGAAAAGACGAGTAGTCTTATGAGAAAAGCCAAAATGTTCCGGACCCCATAAAACTTTATAGTCACACACACTTCCAAAACGCACCTATTTAATTTCAACCAAGGGAGATAATGTATTATTTCCTCAACAATACTCGATACTCAATTTAGAAGGAAAGTATATTAATCCCCATCAAGATCCCAAAAGTGCTATACGAAGATAACATTTTCTACCTGAGGAATCTGTGCCATCCCAACGCTCGAGGAGGACGCTATGGAAAACAAAAAAATACAAGTACACTGATCCCTTATTTTTAGCCAGATACATTCATGAACTTTAAGAAGGAAAAAGGGAACAAAAAAAATTGAACAAATACAACATCAAAAGAATTTACTATACCATTACAAGTGTTACAATTCTTTAGCTGGTTCTGAGTCTCTTTAATGTATGGTCATACTTGACCCCTGCACTTGCTGGTACATTATCATCCTGTGAAATGTGCACACATCAGTCGAGGTATCTCCATGTCTTAAAGAGACGAAAGGAGCAACATATGAAAATTACAAGGTACCTTGGCAGGGGTCGAAGCTTGTTGGATGCAATTCGCTCTTTTCCCCAATTCAATTTGCACTGATATGCTGGCCTGAGAAATATCTACCCCGGACGTTTGTAGGGCTTGTGCAAGAGTATTCAACAACCTATATGTGTTATATATTCAAAGTGTTGATCAGCAGACAAAATCACCTTTTGATGGATCAAACAATTGCTACTTCCTTTTTATTCCATATATTTGTCTTGTAATCGACCGAAAGGAACTGTTTTTTTTTTAAAAAAAAAAAAATGTCCATCCAATTAAGATAGATGATCAATTTAGAGACGTTAGACAGTGAAAGGGAAGATTCAATGAGCTCAAGAGAATGTGTAACAAACAAAATGCATAAGTAGTTCTCACCCTTGTGAGTACATGCTCGAGATTTTGATGGTGCCTTTTTCAACTGCTAGTTCCTCATCTTTTGTCTCGTGGAAAGCAGTAGTCCACGTCATAGTTCTATCTATATCAGATAGCTGCGGCGTAGGTGAAATTGGAGAGGCTACTGCCATGCTAGTTTTAGCAAAAGTGAAAATGTTTGCCTGTGCTGCCTTACTAGTTAAGACTCTATCTGAGTTCACTAAGTTTCGTCCGTTGATGGGGAGACTTGGGGGCCTGCAAGCTCTGTCCCCGCCAAACTTTCTACCAAACACTGCTGCTGCACCAGAAGAATCTGTGTTTCCACTTTCTGTTTGGTCTACAACACCTTTCGCTATGGGACTGTTGTTCTGTTGCAACAACAAATGAATGGCAGTGAACAACTTATTCTGTTATTGTTATAATTATTATTATTTTGAAAATAACTACAAACTGGAAACGAGGATTTGTTGAATATATAATTGTAGGCTATCAATTTAATATTATTTTTCGGCTCTTCTTTTTTCATTTATTTTTGGAAAGTGACAGTTACATTTTTCATTATTCTTTTTGGAAAGTGAGGAAATTACAATAAACATAATAGTTTTCAGACCTTTTTTTAACTTACTTTCATTTATTATTTTTTTTTTCTGTTCATTCCGATCTTCAACTTTTATTATATAGTAACCGAGAATTGATTTTCGAGTTGTTATCATAAGAAAAGAGATTAAGAGTATATATAAAATTATAAATTTAAATAAATAAAGATAATATAATTTACCTTTGATGGTCATCATGGTTAATTAATATTTTTATCATGTTTATCTTTGATAGTGTCATGCCACGTGTGATGCCACGTGTGATAACTGTTGCCAGCGTGTCAAGAAAAAACGCCACCCCTGCGCCACGTGGATTTTCGAGACTTTCGGGACAAAAATTGCATCAAAAGTCCTATTATTGATTATTTTTTGAGAGTTATGGGACTATTTTGATTTTCACGCCAGAAAATGGCAACCCCCTATGCCAGTGGGGCTAGTTTTGAAATGTTCCCGTAATTTTAAAAATTATTAGCATAAATTATATACTAATATCAAACAAACCATGTTTTTTAGATTATTTTAAATATCATTTAAAAGTAATTCAATAAACCTGGGCAGCAACAATTTTAATCTGGTTACAATTTTAATCACCAAATCGATACAAAGAAATTTTCTTATTTTCCTTAAATATATTTAATTTTATGAAATAAAAAATATTATGATTCATAAAGTACATGTTTATAACAAATGAGAGTATATTAAAATTATAAATTATATATGCTAAAATAAATAAAATATTTCTTACTTCATGCAATTTTAAAAAAAAAAAATCATAAAGATAAATGAAGTATTTCTTACTTTATGCAATTTATTAAAAAAATAAACATAATAATTTTGAAAAAATTAAAAATAAGTGATTGATTATGCAATTGACACGACGACGCAATACCAGCATGAGTTACTATATATCATGACATATAAATTAATGTTTTTGTAGTAATATCATAAATGGATGGTATTATAATGAAGAAAATACGTTAAACATAAATTATATTCTCATTTTATTTGCATAGCATAAGACAAATTGTTATGATTATTATTTTACATACTGTTAAACAATTATCTATAATTCAATTGAGTAATCTTGCAGTGATAATTATAATTATAAAAAATAATTTTCTTTATGTTTCAAAGAGAGATTAGTTCAAGCAAATATACAATGCTAAAAGAAAAAAAAAAAATAAAAAATCCATAGAATTTCCTTTTTTTAGAAACTAAAACTGTTTAGTTAAAATTACACATATTATTTCAAGTGCCACACACACACGCACACACATAGATGTATATATACATAAATTTTGCTTCATTTTTAACATTTTGTTTAGTTTAAAATATCATATAAGTTAGTGTTGGCATTCTTAGTACAACAGCTTTTTTAAGAAACTATGAAAAACGAAGAACTTAGTTAACAATATGTCAGCCTATCTTTCAGCTTTTGGCTTTCTCTTCGCACTTTGTGTGGTTTTTAGTTATATAATGTATCTATCGTTTCGGGAAATAAAATAAAATAAAATAAATAAATGTTTATGATTGATTTAAGCCAAAAATAATCTTTCAATATTTAAAACATTTTACGTAAAAAATACATATACAATCAGTAGAGTAATTGTTTTAATTTCTAAGTTATTCAAATTGCAGATAATATAATTTGAATTTACTTTTCAATAGTACGAAATGAATTAACTCCATCTTCATTTATGATGCATTTGAAGAATATATATTGATGAGAATATGGATTTACCAAATGCATCATCTTGGGCGGCTCATGGTTCCAGCCATTGCAGTAGGAACTTTCATATCTGTTTACCTTCTCTTGTAAGAACTGAATATAGTTGATGACCTGGCAAAATACTCTATTGTATCAGTTTTTCAGATTCAGATTCTGGAATACTTCAGTTTAGTTTTGAAGCCGGATTCAAAATTTTGTTTTTCTATATTATGATTACCCATACCTCTAGTAAAAATGATGCCTTGTCTCTCTTCTGATCACTGTTAGGAATAATCTCTCTCATCTTCTGAAATCTAAACAACACACCACATTATCTTACCATGCCGGTCTAAGAAATTATATACTTTCCCTGCACCTACCGTATACCTAAGTTTGTGATTGCAGAAAGTAGTGTTATCATGTCTCCATTTTACATTAGTTGCTATCTTATGGAAATTTGCTAAAACACGTCGAGATAAGAACTCATGAACTGGAAAACACATTCTTACAAGCATAAGAGATTTTATAAAAGGTGTACACGAGTTACGTTACACATAATTACATGTAAAATAAGAAATTATGGAAATGAAGGAATTGTTTTACATCACACAAACGTTTAATTAAGTGAATGTCCTACTAAGTACTGAGATTCTAGTGCCATGATTAGCAATCATAAACAGTGACCAATATCTCATGATTTGGCTACACGGAAAGTTGCCTATTCTATTCATAATTAGTGAAGAAAAAGAATCATGATTTCAAAATTAGAAAGACACTGATACAAACAAACAAAATTATGCGAAATGCCCTAGCCAGGCAGGTTAACTGATCACAATTTTCCAACAAAATTATCTATAGGGAAATGTCATACTTTTGTTCACGTTGTTCCATAAAGTATGTCATCGTATTATGAACATAAACTACGGCATCTTATTATGAAATTATGCATAATTGTTGAAAAGTACATCCAACTGATGGTTTGCACCACATTTGATAATTATTTATATAATGAAAAAGAAACATAATGGTACAAAAACAAGTTTGAGATAAAAAATTCTGAGTTTTTAAAATTGATAAGTTTAAAATTGTCATGCCTGTCATTGATCTTGCTTCTCCTACGTTGCTCTGTGGCTGAATGTTTTGAACGCGGTGTGTTAGGCTTATGGTCAATGGTTTTTGCTTCAACTTTTACGGATAGTTTTCCTACCAAATGTAGATCCGAAAGTCATACCAAATGAGAAAACTGATTACCAGCAGAAGCAACAGACCTTTACATTTATCTATAAAGAACAAAAAACCTTTAGGGAGAGGTGAGGCCTCTTTCTTGATGACAAACTCATCTCCTACATCATCATCATCATCTTCTTCTTCTTCATAGTTTTTCTTTGTCGATGTTATCATCTCCATGAAACATTGGTTCTTCTGGGAGGACGATGGCCTGAGAAATGACAATTATAATTGAAAAATATAAATATTCAGAGGAAAATAGAGAGCTTGACATAAACGTAGATTTCAGATACAGATAAAAACAAGTGGGAGTGGAAGAGTGACTGACTGAGATGACGAAAAAGAGCTAAAAGTTGTGGTGTTATGTTTGTAACCGGAAGATGATTGCGATGGGTTTTCCAACAATGAAGTCCATTGTCCACCCTCCACATTCACATCAGCATCTGCTAAAAGAAATCATTAAGATTGATAGTTCAAATAGGTAACAAAAATCTATATTATCATCACTCCTTAAAATAATTTCTTTCTTTTGTAAGCTAAGCATTTAACCTTGCAGAATATGTGTGTGTGAAGCAATATTCTCCTTCCCTGTCTTTCCCGAAGATTCATTCCACAATGTGAAACCACTCCTCCCCATGTGAGAAGTGCAGTTTGAGGCAGCAGCCTGTGTAGAAAATATGTTCCCCTCTGCGTCTAAAAGCCTTTGATTGAAATAAGAAACGTTCCACTCGGCTTGTGGCCTTTCACCATCACTCCTCTCTGCTGCACCATTGTTGTTTGTTGAATTCCCCTTCTTTTCAACTCTTTCTAGTGGTTTTAGGAAGTCATGTGTCTTAAGGTAGTCAACTGTATAAATCAACCAAAAATAAAATATACATACATTAAACTATGTTGTGATGATTTTGAGTTACCATTCATATAATAAATGGGGGAAGACAAGGTAAGACGACCCGTCCGACCCACTTGCTAAGTTCTATAAAACTATGTTTCTTGCCCATATATGTTGGTTTTGCTCAAATTCCAACTTTAGAAAATGAGAAATGCTACAGTCCCGTTACGAAATCATTCCGTCGGGATTTGTAACCATTAAATCATCATGTAACCGTCGTCGTGGATAGTTGATCTAACGGTTACAAAACCCGACGGAATTGTTCCGTAAAAGATGGTGTAAAAGTTTGTGAAAAACAACAAATAAGAATGAGAGAAGGATCAAAGAAAATATGGGATTTGAAGACCAAAAAAGATGTACTATTGAAAAAGAGTAAATATTAAATATGCAATTGACAATCAAGACATACAAATGTGGGATCTACACAGTAATTAATGATATTTTGGGCAAATGAATGGACGGATGGGGTCACGGGTACATTAACTGCGCCACTCGTGGGTCGTGGCCCTTTTCCCTTCCCCACATCCGATGCCAAACATACCAAACAAAAAACCCCATAAAAATGCTTTCTTTTTTCTATGGTATCGTCAAAAGCTGTTTGAAGTACGTCGTCCCATTTGTTTTTACCGTAAAATACTGATTAAATTGAAAATACTGATAAATAACTGGCAAAAAAAAACATTTTTTTTTCCAAAAAAAAATAATAACAATTAAATTTTTTATTTTTTATTTTTGTATAAATCATGTTACTATGTTTATGCCTTGTTTTATTTTTATTTACTTTTAATATATTAATTAATTTGATTATATATAATGTTAACAAAATTTCATTTAAAAAATAACAAAAATAAACAAGATGAATAGAAAAATAATTGAATCATCGCAGCACAGGACTATTTTTGTCAGATTTGACGCTGATATCTCATCGAATTCTTGTTTCATTCGAACTGAGAAAAAAAAAATCATACACACACACGCTGAAAAGAAGAGACAGAGTGCCAGAGAGAGAGGGGGAGAAAGAATTACGATGGCCCACGAAAATAGTGAAAAATAAACGAAAAAATAATTAAATTAAATTAAAAATTTACCTTGGGAATGCGATGGATCTTGCTGCTGGGCTTTTGCTGGTGATGATGATGAGTACAGTGTGAGAAAATCATGGATCGCTTTTCTATCTGTTGTTGATGCAAAAAAAAAAAAATCACATCAAAATAATTCGACTAATTATTATTTATTAAAAACTGAAAAAATATAATGATATATGTACTGTGTGATTTACCTTGAGTTCTGGATTGAGGCGACTCCATATCCGGCGTCCAATCTGCAGATTTTTATACTTTCTTCTTCGTTTTTCTAGAAATTAATGGGAAATCAGATCCGCCTGCAACCTCTCAAAATCCATTCCTCTGCAGCTCGATTAGCAGCTACCTTCCTTTATCTACCAACCGAAGCTTCTTCTTCTTCCTCCTCCTCCAATTGCAGCTCAGAATCAACTGCTTATGCAGAATTCAGACACTGTAATTAATGGAAAAGGAGTTGGTTCAATTCTGGAGAAAAGTTCAGGTGAAGGAGATCCAGCAAGCTCGAGCTAAATAGAGTTTCAGATTCACAGAAAGCTGAGATGAAAACGATTCAAACAGTGGAATTTCACACGCATGGCGGTGGTGGTGGTGGTGGTGGTGGTGGTGGTGGTGGGACGAACTCTCGGACCAACCAAACAGATGGCCACAGGAAAAAAAAGAGGGGGAAATTATCTTATACTTTTTCTTCTGGAAATGGAGAAATCTGTTGTGTCTTTTATTGAACAGTAGGGAAACCAGAGCACCTCTGGTTGTGTGTGTTTCGTGTTTCACCGTTAGGAGGGGGAACTTCGTCTGTTAACGGCGTTGCGGCGGCGGAAACGGCGTTTGGCCGCTCGCAATCATATACGGGATGGGAAGAATAATGAATAGTAGTAATTATGTAACGTTTGCTCAGAAATATTTTTTAATGGATTTTTGGTGATCCCGATTAAAACTCTTTTATTTTTGGAAGCGAGATCATGTGGGAATCCTAGCCACTTACCACAATAATTAAAGAAAAAAAAAAAGCAAAAGAAATTTTATATACTAGTGTTTGATCACTTTTTTGTTTTTTTTTTTATTTTTTTTCAATACAACTTGGCAAATTTTATAGATCTCAAAGAGTAGATACACCGCGACATTATAATAATTATTATTATTATTATGAATTTTTTTTATACTAGTACGACTCTCGTGTATTATATGCGTACTTGCTATTTTTTTTTTTAAATCTAAAATTAATTAGAAAAAAAATAGTTAGAAATTTAAATACTTATTTATAAAAATATATATATTATTATTATTTTGTATGACACGTTTTATTTGTGCGGCTTACCTGTGTTATATTATAATAATTTTTTTAACTTACAACATATAACTACATTAAACATAAATATATTAAATGAGAAATAATTTTATTTTGCTAATAAATTTTAATAAGTATAATTATTTTTTATTATTATAAATATAAATATAATTTATTTCTATCATATATACAATATGGATGTCAAATCGAAGATCATCAAAAGATGATTAATTTGATATATTATATATGTAAAACCGATAAGAAATACAAAAATTATCAACTTTTAAAATACATTTACAATTCAATAGCTAATTGAAGGAAGCAAATCAAAAGTAATGGATATATTAGTCACTTAGTGCCTCACTATGTAAAATTACAAAGAATTAAAGGGTTATATTAGTACAAGTGATATTAAAATACCTAAGTTAGCTAAATAATACTTATGAAATGTCCGAACTTAAATTATTAATATATCAATATTATTTGTCCAAACCTAATTACGAAGCATGATTCTGCGCCAAGTAGGATTCCAAAGAAGCAGCCACGTAGGCTTAGCGCATTCGGGAATTATATATAAGGGGAATTGAATTGTTGTTTTTAATCGGTAAAGTTCACTTAATGTTCGGGGTGTTTACAACCTCATATATTAAGTATGAAGTTCTGAGAAAAGGAAATGCTACGGTCCCGTTACACAACCATTCTGTCGGGGTTTGTAATCTTTAGATCATCATGTAACCGTCGAGGATAGTTGATCTAACGGTTACAAACTCCGACGGAATGGTTCCGTAACGGACCGTAGCACCTCCCTACAAGAAATATGTTCCAAATCTTCATTTACTATGAGTTCCATGAAAAGTAGTATAAATATGATGTTCTATGCATCTTGAAAGTGGATAATACGAGAGAAGAAAATAAATTAAAAAAAAATATATATACAATAATCTTTATATAGTGTTTTCTCTTATTGAACTGAAACCATCGAGGCGGCTTGAGTTTTAGGAGAATACCGAGGACTTTAGTTGCCAACGAATTAAAGACACAGGCAAGTTTTTGCTACATAAATGTTAGTTCTATGTATTAGTTATATAAAATCACTAACAATGGTATCAGAGCCTTTTATTCCTCCGACGTTTTTTAATAAACCAAAATATTTATGTATTTGTTACATAAAATTTATTTTATTAATTAACTAAGTGTTAAATATAGAATGAGAGTGACATTCATGAATTTGTGATCATAAAAATATCTTAAAGAGAACATAAGAAAAATAAATATATGGGTTATAATTAGGTTTTGTGGCACAAAACCTAATTAATATATGGATCTAGATTTTAATGAAAAGAAGATAAAAATAATTTTACCAATCTTTATTATATCTTCTTCTTTTATATTGTATTCTTTGATTGGTAATAATATTTGTTATTATTATGGTTTGTTAAATATTTATATGGTATTTATGTTTACCATTAAATAAAAATTATTTTGAAATAGTCATACTATTGTTATTATGATGAGAAGTATAAATAAATATTTTTGTAATATTGTGTCTTCTTCTTGTTATTATATAAATTATCCAAGTGATATTTAGAAAACTATTTAGTATGATACATGATTATATGTTATTTATGTTGGTATATGTGTCTTAGAGACAATCATTTTAAGGACATATATACATGATAACATTAATAATTATATTGGATTATAATTATGGTATTGCAACTAATTAAATAATTGTTTGATTGTTTGCAATTCATTAATTAATTATTCCCTTGAGTTGATATTGTCATTAACAGAGTGAGATGTTAATTGATAAAGTATAACTCTCAAATCGCCTTAATCGATGATCATTAAGAAAGAGATATTAATGATACGCGATACATTGACATGTGGTCTGCATCATATTCTTAGAGAATATAGTATGTCTCACTGCTATGACTAATTGTTATTCGTGAAGGACACATGGATACTTTAGAGAGTATTGGCATACCCTACTGATAAACCATTTGTTTATGTGTCTATGGAAGTATCGGTGTGTGGACTGGTGTAATAGTCCTTTAACTTGAGGTCAATACGCAATTCATGTATAGAGTGATTTACTTAGACCTAGTCCAACGCTTACGCCCTTATGGGTAGACACGATATTGTGTTGGGTAGATCATGATATACATGGAATTGGTAGTTGAGCCAAGATAGGATTCATTCCTCGAATATAGTTTCGAGAGAACACTCATTTTCTCTATACTGGGTTGATAAAGTCATTGGCCAATACACGTGATTATATTTGAAATGGTGTTCAAATATAATTGATAAAATCAACCAGTAAGATGAGATTAAATGATTAAGCTGTTTGGATAGACACACATTCAAGTCCTAAGCTAAATCGAGTGGTTCGTGAATGAAGGGACCGTATCATCATTGAGTTCTAAACTAAAGGTTTGTTTGCTTGTCCATGTAAACGTACTTCATATTTCGAGTTCGTCCTTCGACGCAGTCTAGGAGTTTCGTAAGGATCGTAAATTAGATTTATGTCAATATATGAAGGCCTATAGGGTCACACAATATGCAATAAGTTTTCCGACTAAGAGTGAATCGAGAGTGTTAAATATTCAATTAGATTGGAATATTTATTTATGAGTAATGAAATTATTTTCTATTTGATGGAAAATATTTAATTCAGTTAAATTGGATTTATACTTAATTAATAAAGAGATAATTTTCTATTTGATGGAAAATATTTAATTGAGTTAAATTAGATTTATACTTAATTAAAATTATAAATTGGATTATGTTCAATTACCTATTGGGTTGTAGGATTTCCTAAGGCCCATATAATTAGGTTTAGCCTAATTATAAATAGGTCATTATCTCATGGTAGTCTTTAACCATCATTAGATGAGAGAAGAAGAGAGACATAAATAAACACTCTCTAGCTTTCTGGATCGAGGATTCCTAGCTTCTTCACCGGAAATGATTCATTGGCGTTAGATCGTGCATCAGAAAATTGGATTGCGTGGATACCATAGTCGAGGACATAGACGAACAACGGTAAGTTTTCGTTGATCATTCACGCAATTTAGGATCATATCAAATAGCTATTGTCGGATCTTCGTTGTTGGTAAGAAAATTAATAAAATTCCGCTGCGCGTACACTGAGTTCGTACGTCTAAAATCCGACAATTTATGTTATGATAGCTTAAATATCTTTGTGATGTTTATATGTGTTTATTTGCTAAACAATAACATGAATAAATGAATATGTCTCATTAGAATAATGTTAATTAAATTGCTAAACAATAACATGAATAAATGAATATGTCTCATTAGAATAATGTTAATTAAAATATATTTGTTTTTGTTTGTGTGATTTTTGAGGTTATGAGCTTAGCAAATTTTTTCAAACATAGCATAAACAATAACAACAACAACAACAATAATAATAATAATAATAATAATAATAATAATAATTTAATTATATAATTATATTGACCTCATGCGTAAAATTCATTTTATATACTTGTAGATGACAACTAAATATATGATTGGAGATTTGTCCTCCAACGAAAAGTTAGATGGTACCAATTACAACATCTTGCGTAGGAAGATTCAGTATCTTCATAATGAACGTGAGGTTTTGGAAGCTTTGTCTACTACTATGATTGAGCCAAAGGATACTGCTAGTACGTAGTACAAGAAAGAATTGGAAACCTATCAAGATTGGTCCAAAAAGGTTTGTTGTGCACGTTATATTATGTTGTATTGCATGCATAATGACCTTATTGAAGAATTTGAGAATTGTCCCACGGCTAAAGACCGGTGGGACACCTTTGGGAAAACTTCGACTATTAGGCTCTTGCCATAAAGTGGATTAATTACAATATGGATCCTAAGAACTCTGTTGTTGAACATTTGCGTATCATAAATGCATTGATACGTGACCTAA